GATTCCCCGCTTTTAAAGATTCCCCATTTTAAAGATTCATCTTTGCCCACTGCCCATTGCCAATTTCCTATTGCTCATTCCCCCGTTCCTTGTTTTAAAGATAGCCGGGCTCCCTACTGACGAGAATATAGTTTAGTGCTGATCTAAATCAGGACGACTTCTACTACTTAATCACGTCGGGGCCGTGAGAAAATATGTGACGGTTCACCCCTTTGGAAAAGGACACCTTATGACAGACTCGCCCATATGATCGAAAGACATGCCCAAGACTATTTGTCTGATCACATTTAAGTGGCGCCTCATCTTATTTATTGATAGAAATCGAATGGTTTTTTTGTTAACCCTAAAGAAGGCGCTGGGTTCAACCGAAAAGTTATGTGTCAAAATAATCAACCAAACATAACTAATATTATTGTGCCTTAAGATACTTTACGCCCTATACTAGAAAGACATGAAAATATCGACATTATGTGGATCTCTAACATGGCACAGAACAGATTGAGGACCCCGATTTTTTATGAGAAATTTTCAAATCTGAGGGAACTCATTCATCAAGTCACATATCGTTTAAAACATTTGTTTTGAAAGAGGCTTCCAAGAGACGGAAGTCTCTCGGTTGAGGGCCGTCCGCATTAAGCTTGCTTTCAGTCGAGGGTCGACGATTCCGCTTCAAACACATAGCTCGAAATTATCAGAAAACAACTTTCCTGTAATCAATTCTAGGTCCTTTTTTTCTCTAGTCTCCCGTGCCTGTTTTCGGTGCATACTCGTCATATTTTTGTTTATGACCGTGGCCTGTGTCTGCAGCTCTCCGGGTATTCCCACGGACTCTCGTCAATTCTTAGCGTAAGATTTAGCATATTACATTTAGGAAGACTCTTTAAACTATTATTTAAGACTTGAAGAGGTGTATAGACTCCATTAATCACGTTTTTAATACCTCCGAACAGTAGTTTTAGTTCTGTTAACGACGGCTGACAGTCATCGAAACTCAACCGTAGGAAAGATACCAAAGCCCAGTTCAAATGGTCATGATAGTTGATGACAGTTTCAACGATCACTCGCGTATGATTAAAAACTATCAAGCACTATCATTGGCTATCATCAACTATCACGAATGGCCAGCGGTGATTATGGCGGTCAGACGTGTTTCGAGCTTGTCCGTAATTTTATTAAGTTTTTCGCTGTTAGCTTTGTTCTCTGTCAACTTATACTCAATCAAGCTCTCGAAGAATGCTCAAGTGCATTACGGGGATAATTTTTTCAAGTATTTCAACTCATACCCGGTCAATTTCAATCTAATTTCGCCAAGGCATAGGTCACGGATCGGCGGCCAATTTGTCAACTCACCTCACAAGAAGTTTCAGAAGTCAAGAGTGGCGTACTATTCGAACTGTACGACTTCCTTCAACCCGGTTGCTCTTTCTGTGGTTAGAAGTGGAGACATTCATCCTCATCCAGCACCTCACAGACAATGTGACTCGACTTGTAAATCAGCCGTCCGCCATGACCGTTCTCGTAAAAAATGCAAGGAGTGTGATCGGACGATTGCTATAAATCACCGTGCAACCATATGCGACTGCTGCTCGTTGTGGTCTCACATTAAATGCGGCGGTGTGACCCCTAAGCAATATCTAATTTTGCAGTCGTCTTGCAGTACATCGCACACTTGCGAGTTATGTATGGAGGCTCTTCGCCAATTACCTTTTGAGGACTCGAGCTCTACGTGTTTGATTGTCTATACGAGGACATTCTTGGTGAGCATGCACCTTTGAAACAGGTCCGCATAAGGGGAAATCAAGTTCCCTTTATGAAGGAACAATGGTGCAAAGCTATTCGCCAGAAAAACCGTTTGTGGAAACGTTTCATCCGCGAAAGAACTGATACTAATTATGAATTGTACTAGAGACAAAGGAACATTTGCACTTCTCTAAGACGTAAAGCTATTAAAACTTTCTTCGACAAGAAAATGAGTCGGAAAACCCAAGGGAGTTTTGGAACACATACCGCCCATTTTTGCATTCAAGGAAAAGCACGCAAGCAAATGACATAATATTAAAAGAACACGATGTCGTGATAACAGACAAAAAACAAATGGCGATTGCTGGTCCTATTGCTGCAATAATGAATCACTCGATCAGGACAGGACAGTATCCGTCGCGCTGATTAGGTCAGGTTACTCCTTTATTTAAAAAGGACGATGAACTGAACAAAAGCAATTATCGACCAGTGACCGTTTTACCTGCGTTCAATAATGTTTTCGAGAGGCTGCTTTCAGCGCAAATGGGCGACTTTTACCAAAACATATTGTCCGAATACGTATCTGCCTACAGAAGGTACCATAGTTGTGAGACATCTTTGCTTAGGCTGACTGAGGACTGGAGGCAATGGATTTGTCAAAAGCTTTCGACACCGTACCTCATGCTTTGTTACTAGCGAAACTGAAAGCGTATGGTTTGCATGAATCCAGCTGTGCCCTTATCGGTGACTACTTGACGGATAGAATGCAGCGAGTGAAAATTGGTGATACTTATTCGGTTTGGATGAGCGTGAAGCGTGGCGTGCCTCAAGGCAGCGTCCTGGGACCCATGTTTTTCAACATGTTCCTCAATGACCTCATCTTTCACATTAAGTCTGTAAAACTAAACACTTATGCTGATGACTGCCAACTGCACACATCTGACGTAGACCCAGTAGCCTTGGAACAGCGGATCAATCATGATGTACAAATAGCAAACAAATGGTTCGAAGACAATGGGATGAAAGCCAACCCCGCTAAACACCAAGGGATGGTTCTTGGCAAAACCGATTACCCTTTCTCCTTCTCAACCACAAGATGCCTGGAACTTTTTGGAATAATTCTTGATAATGAACTTAATTTCAAGGAACACATATCCTCTGTATGTAAAAAAATAAATAATCAGTTCAGTGTCTTCAAAAGATTTGGCAAACTTATTTCTACCGAAATTATGCTTCGCCTTTATAAAACGTTTATGTTACCCCATTTTCACTACTGTTCAATGATATGGCACTTTTGTAGTTCAGAGGACTCTGTTAAACTGGGCACCTTAAATAGATGTATTTTAAGATTTGTTTTAAAGGACTGGGACTCGAACTATGATGATCTTTTAGACAAGGCAGGTGTGTGTGGTTTAGCCAACAGGAGGATACAAAATATGATGATTTGTATATTCAACTGTCTCCATCTTGGTAAATATCCGTGCTATTTGAAACAACTGATCAAGCAAAGATCTACTGCTTACTCCCTAAGGGGCACCAATATTTTATCACTTCCTAAGCCGTTTACAACCACATATGGTCTAAATTTTTTTAGCTATTCATCTGTTAAGTACTGGAACTCCCTCCCTGACCACTTTAGAAAGACTGTAGATTATAGTGAATTTAAGCGCAAACTGTTAGTGCACGGTTTCTGTTAATATTACATTAATATTACATTATATTATTATATTAATGATTATTATATTATTATATTATGAATTATTTTTTTCTCTTTTAAGCCTTGTTCTTGCTGTAAATTTTAAAATTAGTAATTAGGATGGAGATACTAGCTTGTAAGCTACACTGAAATCCGAGGATAAATAAAGCTTATGTATGTATGTATGTATCGAAAACGGGAATCGGTGATATTTTCAATAACAATCATAGCTTAGTGTTTAGGTGCCGGTTTCGCATTCGCATGAAAAAACAAAGAAACGCCAAGGCCCATGGCAAAAATTTGAAATAAAAATAGTCAGTAGAAAACCGCTTAAAATAATTTGTATGATCCAGTGAAAACTTCATTAATCAATTGCAATTACTAATACATCAACCTCCCACCCCTCCTTGCGTACTAATAGTTCGTCCTCCATCCCTCCCTCGGTAACAACAGTTTGCCTACCACCCCTTTCTAAGTACTGATAGAATACATTCCACCCCTTCCTAATAACTAATGGTCTGAGAAATAGTCCAAAAAAAAAAAAAGTTCCAAAATATGGTCCTAAAAATGGTCCATAAAATAGTCAAAAAAATAGTCTGAGAGTCCAAGGGTCCAATGATCCAGTCAACATTTTACCCTATGCCCATAGGTTATGATATTTGCATTAAAACGGTTTATGATAGTCAATGATAGTTGGAAAAATCACTTTATAAGATTGCGTTATTGTACACAAATATGGCGCGCTATGAGGTTAGAAAAAAGTTATGGCTCACTAACATCCGCTCGTTCAAACGGCTGAAACTATCATCATCTATCTCGCCTTTTTTAACGGGGCTTAAGAGACTTTTTATAGTGGCCGTTTACATTATCAACTCAGTTAATAAAACCAAATTATCTCGTCATACATCTCCACCGACGCAGCACCACGGGTTCTTTAGAACTTTACCCCATTTATTCAACTAAGCTCAAGCAAACCTGCGAGCCAGCAAATTTAATTGAACCTTGAATCGACTCAAGTTACATTAGCTTAGGTTTTATCATTTTAAAATAGCTTTGACATCCTTTTAACCACCTTATCTGAATTTCAGACTTGAAAAAAATTCATGAACTTCGCGAAACAATAGATAGAAACTGTCTGATTAGAAGTAAATAATTTTTTCTTACGTCAGACATCCAAGAACATCATAGAAAGATTCAAATCTCATGTAGGACCAACAGACAAGGCATTCTTAAGCTAATTGAATGATATCTCTCCCCTCGATTCATATCCCTTATTATCGTCGGTGAAAATATTCCCGGAGCCTACATAACTTTGTAACTTAGTTGGTCAGGTGCCAGATTGAGCCCCCATGTTACGTTTCCTTTTTAGAGTGTTACGGCCCTTTATCACCTCAAATAATATACTAAAACAAGTGTTACATACTAATGAAGGTATTTATTTATCCACGACAAATTACTGTCTAGCTGATGTGGTTGTGTCTTAGTCAAGTCTAAGAAGTAAAAAGTAATAGGAAATTACATTCGTGATTAAAACTACAAATACACGATTAAAACTACAAATACATGATTAAAACTAGAAATTGATGATTCAATCTTTCCACATCAATACTAATAAAATGCAAATTTAAAAAAGACTGTGGCCAGCAAGCATCGCCTATAATTCGTTCCATCAATGTTCCACGTCACCCAAACGATTCTCCACTGCACACAGCACGAGCTTTTCGTCGACCCTTCCCATGTTCTTTGCTCCAAGCGACCAGGGTTCTTCAATATCCTGCGCAATTAGGACTGTTGGGTGTCTGCCATTGCTCATATGGACCCTAATGACGTTTCGCTGTCCCTCCGACTGACGTTTATCAAATGAGAAAAGACAAATTACCGACGAGGAACTTTGGAACCATGTTAATGTATTCTTTTTCAACGCCTTGGAATTTTCTTAGTTATTACGGGTATGCTCAACAAAAGCAAATATATTTTCAGTAAAATCATTGCTTTCAAACCCAAATTGAAAATCATTACAGTTTAATTCCAAAAGCCTTCGTTTCAATCTGTCCACTCAAGAATTGAAACGTTGATGACAGGCAAAAATGAGTCAAAACGAATTCTTTATCGAATGAAAACGCACGTGTGGATGCACCCTTAAAGATTTAAGTGAAGATAATGGGAACCTGGACGCGAAGTTTTCAATTTTTATGTTTGGATACTTTTGCTGTATTCTTGTTTTTTAAATGAAAAAGAATAAGCAAACGTGAACGGAAAAACAAACAACCACACAAAAAAAACCTAAAAACCACGAATATTTACCTTTTTGCCACCTTTAAATCGCTTGTACCACGAAAGCCCCAAAACACCATTGATAAGTAAGGTTACCACCACACAAGATGCAGCGATTACTATTGCAATCTGACTAGTTGAGCTTTCGTGCAGTTTTGTTTCGGTTATTTCTGTGATATAAGACAAAAGATCAAACTAAAACTTAAAGACTTTGATGGCCAACATCTTTCGTCGTACTGATTAAAAAAGGACCGTGCATAGTCCAATTAGGTTTCTGGCCATACGAGTGATTGACCAAATTGGACGACCGTGAAATGCGAGTCCGATTTGCCAATCCATCCTGACATGACAATGACATCCTGTTACCAATTAATTATAACTACTAAAAATTTCGGAGGAAAGCTAAATGTATTCATTAAAAGAAGGACTTCTGATTCCAATCGTTAACCACTTGGTCATTACAATTTTGTGAAAGACACACACTAAAGCGCTCTAAAGACAACTTCCAATATTTTTTAACCCTCAGCTTTGGATGGTATGCCATTGCTATGGTTACTGTCATCAATTCTGTCTTTGGTGGACTTATTTGAGCTTGCTTAATGTGATTTGCTGATGTAACTGTTTGATTACCAGTGTCCGATTCCGACCAACTTTCCGCTTACAACACTATGAAGTTATAAAAAATAAGGCAGCTCATCCACCAATCATATTCGAGGAAACTGGGATGGTATAATATACTAATCATTGGTACAATTTAGGATGGCAAATATTACTACGATGGTCAATTACGACATACATGCATGAAGAATATTAATGCAAGGTGATCACAAAAATGTATTTAAGTCTTGCTGACTCAATCCCACTGTGTGAGCTGCAGCAAAGGAAGTTTGAAAATGTTGACTCACAGTGTTTTGAACGGAATTTATACGTTTTATTACACGGCCTGTATATAAATTTTAGTGAAATCGATTTATATTTTCCGAAAGAAAAACTACAAATGTTCCTATGATTTCAAGAACTTGCCTTCCTTTGCGTGTAAAGAGGCTAATTTTGACTCCCTCTTTCCAGCTGTTCGGCATTGATACGTGCCTTCATCTTCGTTCGTCTTCTCCCTTATAAGCTCTACGCTTAGTATACTGTGGCATTTTGTGGCATCTGAAGTTACAACGACCTTTACTTTTGAATTGGTTTTGGAAACATTTGAACCATTGCTATTGTTTGGCTTGTAATGACAACTGGCAGTGAGGCTAAAAGTTCCGTTGGAACCAATTGAATTACTTTTGGTTTTTGGGTCTTCCCGCTTTTCTGTAATTGAAACAAAAAAATTACTATTAAAAGGTGAGAAGAAATGGATGCTATGTTCGGAAAGGATCTGTAATAGTAGGGCAAGCGGAGCAAATGTGACACTCTCTCCATTCGCGTTGACTCAAGAGGCATAACCTTAATAGTAATCATAGCTCTTGTTTCGATGAGACTACTTTAGCAGTTAGCACAAAATAACAAGCCAAATGCATTTGCTCTATTTGACAAACCACGCCCTTGTCATGGAGATCTTTAAAAAAAGATTTTCTTTTGTGTTTCCATATGGATGAAGTTAGGCCCTAGACACAACTAAACCGGGTCACCACATAAGGATAGCGACTCCTGATTCTTTTTCACCAACGACGTTCTTTGCAATGCACTTACATTTTCCATAATCTTCCTTCTGTACTTTTGTTATTGTAAGCTGGCTGCGATTGTTTTTGTCTCCTTGAACAAGACATGCTCTGGGTATTTAGGGGATATAAAGTATTGTCCCTCATCTACTGGATTGTTGACCTCGGGAGACCCTTAGCAACACAGTCAAAAGTTACAGTAGAATTGATCAAGACACTTCGGTTCACTGGATGTTAAAGGAGTAGTTTTGTAAAAAGTGGGAAATCCGAAACGCTCTTGGGGTCAAAATAATGATTTTACTAAAAAGGCAGAAAAAGGGAAACTGAATAGAAAACGAAAATCAGCACGCAGTCTTAGTATTAAGCTATAAATTTTAGTTGCATTTCGATTACATTCCTCTTCACGGTCAAGCTTCTCGTCTTCGACACAAAAAATGCCAAGCCTATGAGGCTGCTTAGAGAGTAAGTCGCTTACTGCAGATCAGATATTAAAAATGGGGTCTAATCTAAGTCAAAATATGCTGGAGGTCAAGTGGGAAAGTTGCTTAGCTGGGTGAGATGTTTTCCCAGCAGGGTTCAACTGATGTACTTAAGACCTAATATCTCGCACAGGACGCTCAACCGTCGCTAAATAGCTCAAAGTTGTGAGGAGCTGTAAATGGAAAGTTTTTCTTCTCACCTTTCTGGCTTAAGAAGGCCGATAATGATACCTTTTTTCCAATGCTGTTAATTGCCACGCATTTATATCCGCCAAAATCCTTCTTCTTCACTTTCGTTATGAAGAGCTCACTGTGGATGCTATTCTTGTCCTTTGCGCTTGAATTGGATTGCAAGGTATTAAAATCATCGTTCTTGATCCATGAGATGTTTGGCTTAGGAAGACCAGTAGCATTGCAATCGAAAGTGACATTGGAATCTATGTAAACACTTTGATTCCTTGGAACCTCCAAAAAAACCGGTGCAGAGCCTGGAGGGAAAGTGCGCACTAATATAAATACAGTCAACTCCCTCATAAGAGGACATCTTCGGGAATTGGAAAAAGTGCCCGTTATTAGAACTGTCTGCCTCCGATAGCTTGCTTTCCCACGGACAAATGGAGATTTAACAAACCCGATCCCAACTGTTCTGTTGCTCTGTCAATTGAAACTCACATTTTGTTGATTTCCAAAGTCAGGACAATTTTGTTTGCCTAGAGTAATAAATTACCCATTGGGTGTCGCTTACGAGGGAGCGTAAACAAAAGAAAAATCACATTTTCAATTTCAAAAGTGTCCGCGTCCGTCTACGAGAAACTGGGAGGCAAGAAAAGAAATTGAAAAAAGTGTCTGTAAGTAGAAAAATCCGCTTACGAGAGTGGCCGACAGCGGGAAGTTGATTGTTTATACTTTTTTGTCATCGAGATGTAAGGTTCACTGGGATTTGAGAGAGAGAGGAAAGGATTTCCTTTTCATTCTCCGGCCTTAGATAACGTAAGTATTGCAGGATGGCAACGTTTGGCCCAGAACCAGTTCCTTTGCCATAAAATGTGAGTCACAAAGTGCTTTAGGTCAATTGATTCTCTCGACATTCAATTAAATCGTTCCTTTTGTGGAAACTTATTTCAAAAACAGACAAACAAGCAAAAAAAAATAAAAATAAATAAAAGGGGTAAGTTTCTAAAGAAGCTACGGTGCTACGTCGGTGGGAGAGTATAACAAGGTAATTTGGAATCCTCAACTGAGTTAAAAATGTAAATTGGCTACCGTAAAGAGTTTTAAAGCTGACGTTTCGAGCATTAGCCCTTCGTCAGATATAGAATGAAAACAAAAATTTAATAATTTAATAACTAAAGAAGAAATAAAAATATATTTGCCATCCAGCGAAACCAAATGCACGATATCCGCCTTTCCCAAACAAGAACGTAAGGTGTTTACCGTCACGCATTATGTAAGTGGGAAAAAAAAAACTAACGAACAAACAAACAAAAAAGGAACAAAAAAAGACAAATGAATAAACGAGTTATGATGAAATACTTACCTATTGTAAATGATTGCCTTGTGCAGTGTTTTCTATAATGATTGCCCGCTTGGCAAATATAGTGGCCAAATTCATCTTCTGTCAGATTTTTAAAAACCAATGGGCAGCTGAATTTTCTTTTATATGCAGATATGCTTGAAGGCTGCTGGCATTTTGCTCCAACTTCTGTACCATTTGGGTTGTACCATTGAATATACTTGACCCATCTATCCATGTACCCTCTATCTATAGCTCTCGGCTCTGCTTTACAAGTCAGAGTTATGGAGGCACCAACGGCTAAACTGACATTTTCTGGACTTGGAGAGATGACGACAACGGGTCTTACTGTAAAAGAGAGGAAACTAGTTGGTGAAAAAATACTGATAAAATACGGTTTTCTATCTCTATTCCAACCGAGAAGGACAAGAATGAAAAAAAAAGTTTAAAAGAATAGGCCATACTCTTCGTACCGTGGGTTTTCATTACTTACTTCTGATTTTGGAATTGCACGTTTCGCTTTTGACAAACGGAGGATTCCATAAAGTGCTGGCAAGATTCAACAGTAGTATCCACTTTGTTGCCTCTCTCAGCCAAAAGCCACCCATCGTCGTGAAATGTTGTCGAGGTGTATCCGAAGGCCTGCAAATGGGATTGTCAATTGGAAAAGAGGTAAGGAGCAGGATTAGTCAGACAGGGTAGGAACAGCCACCTTAAGAAAATGCTTTTCGAACTACATTTAAAAGTTTTGTTTTTAAACAGGACCTTACATGGAAATAAGGAAAATAACTCCTTTAAATTTAATCAGTCGTTGAGATAAGGGCAGACTAGTAGGGTACGAAGATGAAATCATTGACTACATCAAGAATATGACTAAACCCATTATTGTGGGGTGTCTATTTACAACGATGAGTTTTAACTCATTAATATGGTCTTTTTCATAAAAAATTCTCTTTTTTCGTCAATTTCTATAATTTTCCCTAGTGCCCTTTGTCTTTTCTTTAAATTGACTGCACCAGATACCAATAAAATCTCAACTTCCCTTGGTTTACCAACCGCCTGATAGTTAACAAATATTTAGTTAAATTAATTCCAACATATCGGAGAAAATGCAAATGTTCTAGTTCTGGAAATAATTGCCAACAACAGTTCTACGCATTCTTCGTGTTTCTACGACATTATTTCTACAAACTCTCTCTCTCTTTTTGTCCCTTTCATTCGCGTATTCTGCAAACTTCCTCTCTCCTTCCCTTTTTATTCTCATATTCTAAAATTCAATGCCTCTCCGCGGCAACTTTCTGACTGCTTTCAATTTCGATTTTCCGCGAAAAATTGAGGAAGAGACACAGACACTGCCGTGATGTCGCTGCTTCAGATATCACCTGGTATCGTTATGGTTTGGTGGCGAGTCTGCTTGGCGGCGAGGTGACCGGTAACCCACGGAACGACCCGTACCGAAAACACTCGACATATTTAAGTGTGGGTCTACCACAAACGATGCGAGCATATTTTGTATGCGTTTTGATCACACCTAGTATTTCTTACCTTTTTATCATTTTACCCGTTGAAGGCTGTAGCACAAACAGCCGAAAGCTCGTATTTTTTAAAAGTTTTAGCCAGAGATCGTGTTTTAAATTTTACAAGATGTTTTATCCTGGCTGTGGCCCCTCTATCTTTTCATAAATTTCGAATGTTTGGAAAGGGTAAACCGGCCATGACTTGATTTGGACAATTTTAGCCATCCTCATAGGAGAAGGTTAATCTTGCCATGTTATTTCCGGCATCAGATCATATGCTTATGTAAGCAGGTTCTAAGTATATAATATTCTGAAAGAAAAATTTAATCATGATCAAAATTGGAAAGTTGGACTATCGACATTGTTGAATGGTGGCCGAAGACGATGAAAAACGGTTCTGAAAAAGGACTGTCGCAGGATGGAAAAAAAAAAAAGAAAAAACATTCAACTCGGCTTTATGACAAAGCGCTTTCCAGCAATGAGGCCGAGTTCATATTTGTTCTCGCTAAGGAACAAATATTGGAATTGAGAGAGAGAGGAAATTGGTTTTGTTTGGATTACCTTAAACTAATTAACCTAATTCCACCCTTCAGACAAGGATAAATATTTTTTTGCGGAAATCTGGCTGTAGTCTTAAATTAGCGGAAAACTTAAGCCAGCGACACGCACAAGTGACCTTTCTTCGTAATATCTATTAAAGAAAATCATGCTCGTTGAGAGTTATTTTGGCCTAGGGGGCTTTGTGTGATAAGTTTTAATCAAATACAAAAAAATTCGTGTGATTTAACCTGACTTGGTGAGCCTTTAAATGCAGTAACAAGGTGTTCTTAAAAATTCTGGTAGCATACGGAACAATTGATGTCAAACACCATTGACAAAAAATCCATAAGTGATCCAGAACACACCATATCATAAGAAGAGGTACAGGTGTTGGCGTGATCCCGTTCGAGCTAGATAACTTCTTTGTGAGCACAATATATTTCGCATATTCGCTTCGTTTGCCTGTATTTTACTTAGCTTCGCATGGTTTTCACCACGCTCGCCCAGAGAACAATAATCTTGGAAAATTCCGTAAAATTTGATCTCTAACTAGTTGTGATTAGAAGGATTCATATGGAATTACATTCTGTAATTGCAAATGACTCTGTTTTTTCAAATCGACTTTTTCTTAGTAATGGTATGTACCAGATGCTGCTACTTTTCTTTACGCACGACCAATTGCGAGTCGAAATTTAATCAGACTAAAACTATAACCTTAGTGACAGCCACGGTAAATCAAATCCTCTTGGCTCTCAGGGTTGACCCCCTAAAGGAATATCATGTTGTCAAATCATCGAAAATTGGTAAAGAAGATTAAAATTTTCAATGCGACTTTTTACGATCATTCGAGTTCGCCTATTCCCGGAAACAACTATCTGCCGATTATGTAATGAACGCCTGATATTGAAAGAAGAGCAGTGAAACTGCCTTATTGCCAAATTACTTTTCATTGATTCTGATTTACAAGTCTCGAGAAAAAACTAAAATATCGACGCAAATCTATGGCAAGAATAGAGTTAACAACGATAAATATCGGAATTCGTTATTAACGATTGTATTTTATAAAAAAAAAATAAATAAATATTTTAAAAAAAATTTTAAAAATGAGCTCTCGCTCATCAATCAACCCCGAGCCGGACAATGGCGTCGGATCATGTGGCTAATTGATTATTCTTGAGGTATATGAACTCTTCATTGCGCAAAACGACACGCTAGGTGAGCTGGAATGAAAAAGGGAGTTGAACGTTAGATTGGCCTGTACAACTCCTGCCATTTGCTAACGATTTTGAATTTTCTGCTGTCAAAGTAAGGATCTGTTTACGTGAAGGTTGGGTAACCTGCCTAGCCGTTGTCGAAAGATAGCCCGCGTTTACATGCAATCTTACAGCCTCGGGATCCCAGGATTGGGTTGCCGGCTCTCTTGTAAATGTGACATGAACGCGACCCTAGCTAAGCGGGGTAACCCACCTTAAACGATTACTTGGTAAATTGCGACCTCGGTTGACAAGGCAAACCACCTTAGCGGGTTACCCCACCTATCGTGTAGACGTGATCAAGATAAAATAAGGGATTATACGGACAGACGGGTTACCCCCACCCAAGCGCGTCACTTTACCTTAAACAAGCCTTTAAGCTCTTTACAGGATACCTTTTAATGGATTTCCCTTGTGATCTGATTATCAGGGCGTCATTAATTTCCCTATCTGTGTGTTGTTGAGGTTTGGCAAAGTTAAGCCAGATGAGATTGTGTCATAAAAGGGAATATTTTCTTTTGCGGGCTATTTTCTATCTTTTCAAGCAACCCGCTTTGATACGTTTCTCAAAACTTTCCTCAGGGTATCCTCTATTATTTAAGCGTATTTTGAAACTCGGTATTATTAAACGAGGAGCGTAACGAATTCTTTCCTAAGCGGCGTAGCGCTTCTCCTTTTACGAATCCTAAATTTACGCCTGGTGAATGACACGAAAAGGCTCGTGGATTGTTAAAGTCTCTGTCTCTTTGTCTGTCTTTGTTCAAAACGTAAATTGGCTGCCGTAAAGAGTTTCAAAACTGACATTTCGTAATATTTTTAGCTTCTCCGACTTTACATGTCGATATCTAGACAACCAATTAAAATATCGAAAAAGCTTGACGCTCTTTTGTTGATTGATATTTTGTGAATGACTAGGCAGCCTTTATGCTGGTGCTGCGGCATCCGATACCCGATAAATTCAACAGAAGAACCTTCGGTCGTTTCACGCCTTGCCGGCCCCTAACACTTCGTAAACGGAAAACTCGCTTAAACTGTATTTCTATCATAACCTGATTAATTAGGCTTTCTTCTGATGTATAGTTTGTTGGGATTACAGAGAAACTAGCGCGCGTACGAGTTTTTTTCCGAAGGAAAACTCGCTTAAATTGCATTACTATCATAACCTGATTAATTAGGCTTATTTCTGATGTATAGTTTGTTACGATTGCAGAGAAACCAACACGCATACGATTTTTTTCTGAAGGTGAGAAGTAACCTTAATACAGTGATAAAATGTCCCAAATATAAAGATTATTATGTACTGTGGCTACGGAGCTATTCAAGCCACGAAACCAAAATGGTTGTTGTCACTAGAAGCGTAATAGGAGTTCGAGTAAGAGAAAAGGTTGATACGCATACAGTATACATTTGGCAAAACTTTGAGTTAAGTATGTTGGCATGCACGTAACGTGAAACTAAGAAAAATGTACAAACGATTCTAAATTAATAGATTAATGTGCAATCGATTCTTAATTTGACATTGTCTTTTATATGCAAAGGATCATAGCGTTGTTAAACAGCGCTCCTCGATGGTGAAAATTGGAAAATTCATTCGATAACTAAAGGTACAATAGAGGATAAAGAGTATAAAACTTACTTTAGCGACTACCCGCGGAAAATACTTCAGTGATCCAGGGATGTTCATTAGCTTTTAATTTTTTTCAACTTCTTTTTTATTTTAAACAAAACTCACGTGATTTCAGCTAATCCAATTGAAGCGTGAGGTAGTCAAAGGCGAAGTTTACCCCTGTTATTAAAATCCCTGTAAGAAAGTATTTTAAGTTTGTTTAGCACAGTGTGTGAGACGGCGGTATTCTCCCATCCTTCCCGTTGACAGGGAGCTATATCCGTGGCCCACCTTTCTCACCTTGCACAAATAATTTTCAATTTTATCACAACTTCGCCTGTTCCTGTTCGTGTGTCCGGCCAAGCCTTTATGGTCATTGGCCTCCCGTATAGCCGCTAACTATGGCTTATAAATACATACAATTAGTAGAAAGTTACTCAAGATACTTAAAAAGTGAGGTATTTGAATTGATTTCAAATTAAATTGATAAACACACCTTTCATTTAACAAATAGAGAAGCCTTGACTGTGCTCTGTTCTGTTGTAAAGCATGCATGAAGCGGTTACAACACGAAAAAAAAAAAGTGTAAGGAGAAACACGAGACGCGGGCACCTTCATGATTGCTATGAATTTTAACAGTTATGCCAGTTTGCCAATATTTTTCATCATTCCTGCTTTGTTCTGTCTTTTTTTTTTGTTGTTGTTGCTTGTTTGTTATTTTGTTTTTTAACAAGAAACTGTATATACTTTATGAGTGTTAGATTTTTGTTATCGGACGTAAGCTTGCAATCTTACTGAGCGTGAAAACCTTCAAAACTCGGACTGTCTATTTCCTTTTCTCTTTCAGGATTTGAGGAACTCTGCTCAAGTTATAATGACGTAAATTACGGCCCTTTGGCATGTCTACAAACCCCTTAATTTTTCTGTTGCTACTTGCGGGCTCGCTTGTTCCGAAATTTCACTTTTAGTTTAAGACAAAAAGCTCTAGGGCGGTCCTGGAGAAGGTCGGACATAGTACAATTTGGCAGATGGCGTGACAGCTTTAGCTCTGCTCCATGCTTTGTACTCTGATAGAGCCTGCTCTTTCAAGCAATGACAAAGCGCGTTATATCCAAACTTTATTATAATCATTAATATCTGAAGTCTCCAAAACAATTTGTTTGTTGTAAAACGTTGAGTGAAGTTCTGAGTTCTATTTAAATTAAATCTTGGGTAAGCCTTTGGACATTTTAACTGCTACGGATACCAAAGAAATCAAGTGAGTAAACGTTGCATCTAACTCGCTTGTAATTGGATTGTGTCTCATTTGACTTTAGCTTTTCGGTAGAAGAAAGACAACATTTACTTGCGCCATTGAAGCGAACAAACGGGAATTGTTAGAGGACAAAAAATCAACCTCGCTTTTCCATGTTCGCCTTCATATTCACATGCAAAGAGGCTGTTGAGAATAGCATATAATATAAGATGTATTTCATACACATAGCCACTTCATCCTCGTTAGTCCGAAGGTCAGATTAACAACGGTGTTGACTGATAGCCAATTCTAGTGAGAATAATCTAGAAATGACGATTAGAAGATTAGATTAGATTCAGAAGGCGAAACAAATTGTTCACGCCGCTAAGTGCTGTTTCCGAAATGGGCCCAATTCGACCACCCATAATGATATAAAACGACCATCCGGATAAGAGAAGTCCTCAAGGGGTAACATTGACTGCCTTTTTGATAACCCTAAAAAAAATGGTCTGGAAAACCGATAAATAATTTTACTTATATACGGAATTATTGACTCAAAGAAGCAGTTCAAAAACAGTAAGTCCTCAGTCTATCAAGAGGGGGCATTGGGGCCCATTAGAAACCGCAAAACCGAAAAAATTCCGCTAGATTTCTCTATAGGATTGCAATTTTTATTTTACATCTAATCTTGTTTTTCTTCCTGAAATTCTCGCCGCCTTTCCAACCTCCGTAAAAAAACGTAACACAATCCACAATTAACCTTCTTCTGTTGCCAGTGCGTTTGGCACGTTGGAAGACGCAAAATGATCGACCTTGACCTAAATGCTCCACACTGTAAGGTCAAAGTCTTGGGCGTCATTCAAGACGCGTGTACTCCTACGGATGGTCAAAGTTTTGGGCGGTCATTAGAGACGCGTGAACCCCCTAAGGATCCCTACGATATTTCAATTGGTTTGTCACGCATTCCTCTAAATAACATCTGCGCTTAGCGGCTGTTCGAGATCAGTGGAGGCGCAGAATTGCCGCTCAGATCGAAGAGGAACCGGAACCAAAATAGGTCAAATAGGAAAAACCGAAAACCGCATCGGATATCAAATCCGAAAACCCGTTAGTATTTTTCTTGAAAACCGAAAACTAAATGCCAAAAAACGGAACATCCGTTAACAGCAATGAACACCAAAACCGAAAAACCGAACGTTTTTGACGCAAAAACCGAAAAACCGATCTAAAAAATAGCCAAACCGCAAAATCGAGAATTCCAATGCCCCCTTCTATCAACAATGGTTATTCAATATCCTTAGGAAAATTACTGAACCACAACCGAGAGAAACTTTCAGGACAAGTTAGTGCTTTTGTTGAAATATCTTCTTAATCCACCCAGACAGACTTAACAACGATAAACTTCCACAACAGACGACAGCGGTCCCCACAGTTCCTGGCTTATCAGTATATATCGCTCGGATCCCAGAATAGAAGTTACAGTTTGCCGACAACAATATATCACACGGGTCCAAACAATTAGATTAACTATTCGTTAATCTAAACTAGCCGGAAAGCTTTGCGTGAAAAGCTCTCTGGTATGATAAACATATTGATATAAAGCGCTAGAAAATTTAATAGGTCTTAATACCTTGGAAACACAATATCTAGCATTTATATCACATGTTCAGGTCTTTTACATACTTTCAAAAACTGAAATTAGTACGACTTTTGAAGGAAATATTTCTATTCATCCGATAGATTTATCTACGTATTTTGTTGCACGGGCAAAAGGGCAATTCCCTACGCAGCCTAAAAACAGACCAAAGAAATGAATAAATCTCTGTTTTGCAGAATTGCCCATTGCTTGATTACCCCAGCTGTATACATGCACACCATCATATGAATGTTTAAATTGATTGCCGTTTTTTACGTAAAGTAAAAACATAGCACTGCTCATTAACTGGTATATCGCGATAAGCGGCATGATTGTTGAATAAACCGGGCCACATTTGATAGGAAATTAAATCATTGAAGAGGGAATTCAACACTCTTGCAGGTAGTTTTTTAGTCTTAATAGAGATTCGAAAGTAAATGTTCAGAGAAATCCGTCCAAATTGTGGCTCATGAAGACAAGCAAATTTTTCACCTGACCATGAGAAAACAAATTGCTCTAGACATATGATTTATGATTTGACGATAGCGAAATTCACAGGAAGACGAATATTGCTGAGGATGAAAGTGCCGTAGAACTCGGCTGTTGTGACTGATGTGGTCTTCCCCTCAAAACATCTGTTATCATATACAGCTTTACTTACAGCAAGTTTACTTTTCCCACTTTGCTTCTCTGTAACCACTTTGACTGACTGATCACCTCTGACCGACTCTTACTTACTCTCTATAACTCTGGTCAACTCTCTCGGAGACATTTTACAACTTTTATATGTAAATGTATCCTATTTATTTTCCTGGCGGGGGAGTTCATTTGGAAACCATGGGGTAATCATAACATGCTACCCTTTGTCTAAGACTACAAACGCAGTTATTATACGTGGATTACTATTAACGGAACATAATTAAGATAAAAAAAGACAAAAAAAAAGAGTTGAAGTAAGCAGACACACCAAAAACATCCTGCAAAAACATCAGCAAACTATACGTCTTTGAATAAAAAAAGGAAAGGAGCGGATCATTCAGTCTAGATTTAAAAACAGAGATAGAAGGGCCATTTTATATATTGTGATGAGTTGGCCGAACCAAGTGATCATTAATAACACTATCATGTCTATTGTGCAAATACTTCAGAAGTGCACGTGGAAAATATTATAAGGTTCAGCTGTTATATTGAACGAGACTCAACTCTGAGAATCACTTCAGCTAAATTCCTTCTGTCAGCCACATGTTCTTAAGTTGGTCTTCCTAGTCTTTTCATAATCAAACCACCCTTTCCTGTTTGCGTCATCAAAATGTCCTAATTAGTTTTCCTTGACAGTAGTCAAAGCATTAAAATATGCATTCATGTCTTTTCCCTAAGAATTATCTGCATAACTAAAGAATGTAGTGTGCAAAGGTCACAAACTTCTCGAGTTGACTGATAGAACCGAATACTTTATGATTCATCTCAACGTAAAGCTGAAAGTAAAGTACACAGGTCTTTCGAGTTCACTTGAACAGGAAAGTGCTAAAAACATGAACTCTGAAGAGACTACAAAAATATTTTCTCGAGGAATCTGTACTGTTTTGAAAGAGGTCTAGATTTTTTTTAAACCGAACATTCGGAAGCAGACACTCATTTTTGTCTAAGTACGGTATAAGGGATCGAGGAATTCGTTAAGAGGCTGAACACTAATCCTTGTCGAGAAGCGCTCAGTAGATAAGTAACCCTACGTCGAGTTATCCAAAGGGTAGCGTGGAGAAAGGTTTTTTTTTTCATTTTTTAAAATAAATTTTGAGATCAACAACCCCCCTAAATCTGAATCCCGAGTGACGCCGGATGCGGTTAACAAACAATTTTAAATAGCAGATTGTTTCTCTCGATCTAAAAAAGACAACGGCTGAGGACATTTTGATTACATTAATGTTTCTGGAGTTCTAAAAGCAATGGAAATTTTCGAGATCATTGGCATAAATTTCATTCAGTAATATTTTGTTGCGAAAAGATCATAGTGCACGCGCGACCAACACCGCTTAAACAATAACTTCGGTTAAAGCAACCCAGACTCATAATTTGAACATTCAGTCAATCAGTAGTATGAGGATGCCTTTCTGGTATTGCTTAGCATAAGAGCTTATTGAATTTTATGGAAAACGCGATACTAACAAAAAAAAAAACAAACAAAAAAATCCTTTATTAACTTATATTGTGCTTGTGTGAAGCTGTGTTGTCTTGTAATTGACCCCTCGTAAAAAAGTGCATAAGAACTTTTTCTGATATTGATAATTCACAATGCATGCAAATTTATACGAGTTTAGGTCTCCTGTACTTGCGGTTAATGTTCATACCACCCAAGGAAAGTAAAGCAAGGATTTTATTCCTGGAAAAAATATGCACAGTGATTTAATTTAAAATTTTTCTTCTCTCGACGATTTCTACAGTTTTGTCCTATCCTTCTCTAACAGTTTTCACTTATCGGGTTTAATTCAATTTATCATTAAGGCTGAAATTGGTAGCTTTTGTGGTTAAACATTCTTTACATTGAGTTTACGCCCTTAACACTTTTAGAACAGTTGTATCACTTGACTGTAACAAAGGATCCTCGCTCTTCTCCTAGGTTGTAACTCAGTTGCGTGACTGTTGTCAGAAATGTTGTTGAGCAGTTACGCTTGGGAGACTTCTTCAGTTCATGTGTGAACTGAAACATATAGCAGTGTGTAGTATAAACGAGAATTTAGTTACTTTCTGAAACAGTCAGATAATTCTCTAAACCGTAATCAGGGTATTTGTTCGACGAAAAAATTACGAAAAAGGCAGCAGCTGACCACCGATTCTGCACCATATTAAGGTACATAAAATCACCGTGCGAAAATAAATAGTGGGCTACAAACTGAGATAATTTAGGTCTTTGCTGCAGACCTCATCAAATCATACAGATATAAGTAACTCTTATCAAGCTTTTTTCCTACATGTAGTTATTCCAACTGTAAATTTACTTATTTTCCTCAATGACCAGAGTTACATTCACAAACTGTACTCTTAAAAGGACGTTTGTTTCAACTCCAAATCAAGTGTCTGTTTTTATGTAGCCCTAAACAATTATGAGACAATCCACGAATGATTTACACATTAGGAGACAATAAGGAATACTGTCGTGCCTACTAAATATAATCTAACTGTGATATCTGTTTTATTTAAATCTTTTTACCATGGGGAGGTATGAAAATAAAACCATTCGTAAATGAGAAATAAATCGGAGTTCGTATTCAAGTGATAAAGACTAATTTTCTTCGATAAAAACTGCCATAATTGTAGCTCAATTACGCCTTGTTTCAGAATAGGTCGTGTTCTAGAATAAGATAAATAAAAACAAAACAAAAATGATCCCTCTCGGAAGGCAGTATTTCTACGATTGTAAATCTTTTTTTGTTTGTTCATTTTCTTTAATTCACCTTCGCTCAGCTAATAGATCAGTGTCTATGCTATTTATCATAGCTCGTATTATTATCTTTCTGGTTAATTTTTTAACCGAATTACCCATATGGATGTTTTAATTGAAATCCGCTGGTCAATTCAGTGTTTTCAGGAGCGCTTGCGCTAGGAGTGCTTCCTAAAAAGTCCCAGTCGATGTAGCTCAAGGGAGTTTCTGTTCCGCTACGCGGATGAACACCATTGATGTTTGACGTTACCGCGCATTTTCACCATACCATTAGCCTCCTCAGCGTGTGTCATTGCGTTTCCCATCACTAGGGTCTCTTCCCAAGTCCCAAATGTACGGTCTTCAAATTCAAACTCTAATCAGGATACTTTGCGTAATGATGACAAGGTGGCTCCTCAAATATTGCTCTTAAATGCGGTTAGTTTTGAGGGATGTTCTTACGAATGTTCTTGAGGTTGGGTAACCACTGGAACCCGGTTGCAGTGACGTTCAATTACGACCAATTCACCTTTTTCGAAAATTTCACTCATGGAAGCACCTTTGAATACCGTAAACAGCTCGCCGTAAAACAATTTAGCAGGAGGTCTCATGGGCTCGAGTACTAGACGCTGTTCTGGTTGATCTGTAATGATCCCGCACTCCTCCCTGACCATAAAGTACAGTACGCTGACACGAAATTCTATAATTAACTGAGCCTTGAATTTAAAGTATTTACCCCCCTAAGCTATAAAGCTCTTCTTTCTGAAAACAAATATCGATAATTCTGTCATAGGCCAGTGTTTTGCTGTTGCTAGTTGGCAATTTTTCTCCGCGTTTTGTAGATCGTCGGTTATATTATTCGCCCTTTGTCGTCAGTCGGTTAACCTCATTCAGACCCTCATGATAGTCTGCGTGTGCGGGTAATAAAATCAATGACGATAAATATCACAGCATGAAATCGCAAATTTACGCATCTCTAACTCTTGCGTAAAGAAACGTAAATATAAAGCCTCTTCTTTACGGACAAGTTCCGCGTTCCGTAAAGATGCGTAATTGCAGAGAAAGCGTAAAGACTGCGTAAAGGATATTAAATGTTCGTAAAGGATAAAGATCAAGATGGATGAAATTAACCACTTTCTATTTTCAGAAATACCCAAAGAAGTGAAATAATTATGGCTCATCCATACCGAAGTATTTTGACCCGTTTCGCTTTAACACTTTACGCGTCTTTAATATTCTTTATGTATCTTTACTCACTGTCCTTTACGGGCCTTTAACATTCTTTAACATTCTTTACGCAAAATCAATCTTTACGCGCCGTTAATTCTCTTTACGAATCTTTAGTGTTCCTCAACGACCTTTAACTTTTCCTTCGCACAACTAGTCTTTACGTAAATTTAATTCTCTTTCCGCATTTGTACTGTCTTTACAACGGTTCTAAACTTTCTGTTCGCATAACTATGCTAAATAAACTACCTTTTTTTTTAACGCGCCTTGAAACCCGTGAACAGGGAGTCGTTGTGATGAGACAATCATGTTTGATTTTTTTTCCATAAAATGGAGTCCCTGGGGACGAAAATACATAGGCTGCCGCAGATCGGCAGGAGAGTATAACAGGTAATTTAGTGTTAACAACTGAGTTGAAAACGTAAATTAGCCACCGTAAAGAGTGAAAAGGCTGACCCTTCGAGCGTTAGCTCTTCGTCAATCGCTCTGATGAAGGGCTAACGCTCGAAAAATCAGCCTTTTAACTCTTTACGGTGGCTAATTTACGTTTTCAACTCAAAATGTCAAGAATTTCCTACCACACCAGCGTGAGCGACTGTTTTACTTTGCTACTGGACGATTCTTAGAAAGAAAACCAATCATTATGAGAGCAATTGAGGCAGCGCGATGAAGAAAATGCCTTAAATTTCGAAGAGCTTTCAAACAAAGTGGACTCTTTGCGTAAACTTGTCGCCGAGAACAACTCGGACAGCAAGGAAACGAAATCAAAGAAAGGTAACTCAAAGGTCCATGTGCCTACAAGCTGTGCGAAACCAATGACACATTTTGTATATCTATGTAAAAATATTTTTATTTACAATATTTGTATTTTTCAGTTCTTATCCAGTGTATATAAACCTCTAGCTACGTTACTGTGAAAATTATAAAATCAAATTAAAGAGTTATGACAATAAAAAAAAATTTCAATGTATAAAACACGTATTGTTATATGTGGATCACTCCTTGAAAGGCATGTACGGCATGTACGTTCTCGATACGACTTTTGGCAATAGGCGTTAAAATAGCGTATCTCTTTGATATTGTCACGAGCTCACACTT